AAAATAGATTCATTCATAGGAAAATGGATACATATTGAGGATATATTCCGAAGTGAAATAAATAGTCACACATGTGTAAATACCGAACAGCTTCTCTGGTGTGAATAAACTGTAATAATACATAAGATCCAAATGAGATTATAGACATTGTGAAATGGGAATAAAGGGGCTAAAGGTGTAGGGAAGGTGGGATGGGTAGGGGAAAGGTAATAAGGGAAAAGACAAAAATGTGAGATGATGAAAAGATGGAAATAAAGCGATTGTAGATGGGGAGGGGAGGGTGGTTAAGGAGGGCAGGGAAAAGGGGAAAAAATGAGAACCAAGACCTGTCATGTAGAGGTACAAGATCCCAACAATGAATGTAACTGTACTGTATCCCTAAAATGTACCAATAAACTCAATTAAAGCTGAAAAAAATAAATAAATGAAAAGAAAAAAGAAAAAAAATGAGTTTTACACCAAGGCTTTAATTGCATATCTATATGTTACCTGTAATATCTGTATAATTGTAGTTGATCCACCTGTCTAATTTTGATTTTTTTTGTTGTCAAGAAGTCATATGCAAAATAGCATATGCTCATGACTTCCTGAGTCATGTCAATAATCACAAGACATTCTTTTAAGAACCAAATTAAGCCTTCCAAAACAATTTTAATAAAAATGCATACCTTGGGAATATGTGAAAACAAACAAACAAACAAAAAAAAACAAAGCATAGGGTTCCAAGGGAGACACGGAAAGAAAATGCAACTGGATTCTCAAGCAGGATCCAAACCATAAAGTACAGGGCTTGCAAGTACTCGTGGTTAAATCTTCATGAACTTTGAAAGCCAGTTATTAAATGTAGCCATTAGTTGCAATTACATTAATCTTCTCTTAAACAAATTAATTACAAAGGTTAAATACTCAAAGCAAAGGCTTCTTTATTTTGCTACATTTCCCAATTGCCTGTGTTTTTTAGGATATCGGTGTTTATTGTGTCTGAATGGTGCAAACCCTGTAGAATGGGATGATACTGGGCATTTCTTCCCAGTTCGAAATTCAGAGATGTCATGGGGCAGATTTAAAACCAGCCATGAGGGGAGCACTTATGCAGTGCAATTGATGTTGGCATTGCTACAAATTAGCCCCTGCCCCAAGCCAGTTGTTAAATATTTTCCACCTTTGTATGGAAATGTGTATCATGAAAAAGAATTTGAACATTTTCATTGGGAACTGTCAAAGTGGCTCACAGTTTGACTTGGATAATTGATGATGATGCTATTTATGGCAAAAAGACTTACAGGTAGCTGGGTGTGGTGGTGCATGCCTGTTATCCCAGCACTCAGGAGGTTAAGGCAGGGAGATCACCTCAAATTTAAGGCTACCCTGAACTGCATAATGAGTTCAAGGTCAGCCTGAACTACACAGTGAGACCGTCTCAAAAAGCCGAAAAACAGACAAAACAAAACTCACAGGTGGGGTGATACAGGAAGGGAAAAGTAAGATTTGGAATTAACCATGGTCAGAGTTAAAATTTTCAGTTAGTTTTGTGAGTCTGGAGTCGAAGAGTGAAGCCTAGACTTTAGAATGTACTTGAATCTTTGCATGCAGGTAGTAGTTAAAACCATAAACACCAGTGATGTTGCTCAAGGTCCTTTCAGAGGAAGCTGGCATATTGGTTGAGAAGTTCAAAGCAAGAAGAAATGCATGGACAGATTGCTTTTCATGAGAATAGAGGACCCAGCAACCAACTTTCTGGATAAAAAGAGATGGGGGTGAGTCAGGAAGGGATTCACAGAAAAACTGTCAAGCTCTGAACCTTCTGTCAATGACGGTAACATAAATGAAAACCAAATTGAGCTCTTTTTTTTTTTTGGTAGAATTGTAAACTACAGAGAAAAATATGAGAGCTTAGAAAGATACAATGAGAAAGGATATTTTCCCCAAAATACATATTTGATTTTTAAAATGCCTGAGGTATTCAAAATTTATTCTCTAAATACACTAACCATCACATTTTTTTTTCATACAAGTTCTACTGAGTGTTTGTAACAAGTTGCACGGGACCTCTACTTGGAGTTTTTATCCACAGGTTTTGCAGCTGAGGATCCAAAAGCGAATCAAAATGATTGAAAATGAACATGCAGACTCTTTGTCATTATTCCCTAAAACATAGTGTAACAACAATTTGCACAGAATTTGCAATGTGGTAGGCTATTATAAGTGATCTAGAGATGATCTAAATAAAGCATACAGGAGGATGTGCATCCGTTACAGTGAATAGTCTGCCATTTTATAGAACAGGGGCCTTCTAGATTTTGATATCCTCAGCGAGTGTTGGAACAACCCCCCTGTGGATATCGGAATAACTGCATTTAAATTATACCTGCCTTCTTCCCTCTTCCAGAAAATAGGAGTTCTTTAGATTTTTTTTTTTCCTGTTCCAAATGTAATGAACTTTGACACACTTTGGGGACTGTCTAGGGAGTTATGAGGTGAGAGAAGTTCCCTTATCTGTCTCCATGCTTTATAAAACAGCCTTGCCCAGAGCTTTTTGCTTCCTCTCCTCCAAGGATCAGAGAATAACATATTGTTTAAATGTTTTTGGAACTTTCTAAGCTTAACAGAAGATTTGCTGGGACTCACAAGAATCAGCATATTTCCTGACCTCAATTAGCTTTCTTTTCCATTAGTATTTGCCTTATTCTTTTTCGCTGCACTTGCTGAGATGGTTTGCAGGGATCATGACATTTTCAGAATAATGCAGGAATTCCAACTGATAAGGCATGCAGGTCTGCTGGCTGTACACACATTTGACATATTGCTGAATACATAGCACAGAGTTAATTCCAGAAAAAAAGCTTGCATGAGCTTGCAGGGAAAGTAGAAAAAACACTACAGTAACTAACAATGGATTGAAAAAAAACCCCACTAAATTTCACAAATCCAATCTCTTGGACTTTGTGTTATCAACCTCTGGAAAGATAAAAATTTAAAAACAATTTTTTTTGTTGTTGTTGGGTTTTTTTTTTGTTTGTTTTTTTTTTTGAGACAAGGTCTCACTATACAGCTCAGGCTAGCCTTGAACTCATTGTGATTTTCCTGCCTTAGCCTCCTGAATGCTGTGCTTACAGGTGTAGACCATCAAAATGGCTGTAAAGCTAAATTTTAAAACTCTTTTTATAATCTATTGATTGTGAACTTTTCCTTATTCTGAATATTTGAGTGACATCATAAAGTAACATTTCACTTTGGGATCTGCATGTCAGGAAAGCCAAATCTAGCTGTTTTACCAGCCTTACTTTCCTTGCTTCCACTTTCCTTCCTATAGCACCATGGATTACTTGTGTCCATTAATCTCTCAAGGGACGATGCTATATAAAGTGAAAAGGAAGCACCCCAGTTGCATTGCTCTGAATGTGTTACATGTGTTTAATCTTTACACCCTATTACCTAGGTTACAGGTAAAAAACAAGCTCAGAGAGGTTAAGTAAATTGTGCAAAACTAATAAATGCTTAGGATCCAAACCCTCTCTTGTATTGTGTACACTATGAATCTCTACCGTATTAATTTTTTTGTTCAACCCCAGAACACTCTCATGTGTGGAGCCTGTTCCTCTTTCACTTCCCTAGCAATCTGCATGACTAGCGATGTCTAGGCACAACAGGACCTACAATAGCCAATGTCATCCTCTGTCAACCCACTCCAACCCCAGGCACTCCTTTTTTGATTTGCAATTTTTCTGAGGTATACCAGATAACCCATGGATTGTAATTTAATGGTATCTGCACCAGAGGGCCCTACGACCATCCCCAGGTCTGAAGATTTGCTGGGACTCGCAAGACTCAGCATATACTTTACTCAGGTATATTTTATAAAGCGAAATCAGCAAATGATAGAGGTATGTGTGATAAAGTCAAGTCTGGGGAAACTAAGTACAAGTGTCCAAGAATTCTCTTCCAGGGGCCATGGAAGCTGAGTTTAGTTCTTTCAACAATGGCTTACAATAGCACATAGGAAATTTTGCTCATCATGGAAACTTGTTAAGAGTCAAGTCAGTGCCTGGGGATTTTACTGGTGGCTAGTCACATAGGCAGTCATACCAAAATTCTGGACTCCCAGAAAAAAAGCAGCTGTGAAGCACAAGCCTTATTGTTTGTAGATGGCTTAAGTACAGCAAGTTACTTTTCGCAGTTGCGGGGATGGCGGAAGCCACTTGAAATCCAAGTTCCCAGATGCCATCTATTTCAGGATAATCAGCCAGCCTGCTAGAGAACACTGCTCTGGACAGCAATTTCATCCCAAACTCTTTTCTTCAACACTCGTAAATACTCCATTTCTTAAACTGTCCTTTGAACCAGCTTTACTATCTGCTGGTTCCCTCATTAATGAGTTAAATCTCTAACACATGCTCATTTTATGTATGAGTCATGTTGCCGACTTAGTAAAAGTTTTACTTCGACAGAAGCAAACCAGATTAAATAAAGTCTAGCCAAAAATTAATAGCTAAAAAACACCAACTCAATAATATCAAGGCTGATCACTATACACACTCATTTTAATTATTAAAAAAACTTTAATACTTGCAAATTTTTTTACTGACTCCATACTTCAGAAGGCTTCTGATTTAAGTAACACTTAGCTCTTATTGAAGTATTTCTGCAAGTAGGCACTCTTGTAGAAAGATCAATTTTCTCAATTTCACCAATCATTATGTAGAAATGCTACATCAAGATGAATTTCCCATTTAAATATGACACATAAACCAATATTTAGAAATATCTCTTCCTATCATAGACAGTTGTGAGCCTTTAGAAAAGTAAAACCTTAAAGTTCAAATATAATATTTTTACTTTTAAACTTTATTATGCTTCAGATATTTTCCCAATCATTTCAATTTATTTCAACATTTTCTTGTAATTTGTGGCATTTTAAAATCAGAAATTATTTCATAAATTTCAATATATAATAGAAACAAACAAAAACCAAAGTATTCAAGCTTTATTAATAATTCTAAGTACATAAGAACATAAGAGCTGGCCCTGCTAACATATTTGTAAGAAAGGTAGACATCTCTTGAATAAAAAAATAGGAATTATTTTAATGAAACAAAATGAAAAGAGTGTAGGAAGGAGAAAATTATCCAAACAGGAGCCAGTACTTTTGCCACAATCTGTATTATCTGTGCAGACATCATTAAATAAATACTTATCTGATACTTACAAGCAGAGCCTACAGCCTAAAGTATCAAGATCTTTGATTTGCTATTCCCCTTTCAATCTTCTGGATATGTTAGTTCCCATATCAATTAAAAATATGATTCTAGTTAACTATAGTAGAAAGTTTGTCGATTAAGTCATCAATAGTATAAGTAAGAAGCTGTATGTCCGCCTTTTCCTTCATTCGGTGGTCACTATCTTTTCGGAGGATGACATCCACATCCGTGCTGAGCACTTGGTCAGCCACCTGCATGGACGTATGCCAAGGTACGACGTCATCCTTCATGCCATGGAGCAGTCGTACAGGGCAGTTCACAGGAATGGGGCTGTGCAGCAAGCAGTGGTGCTCTGCCTCCTTAATGAAACTGTACTTCAGGCAGTAAAAGCCGTCTTCGTGGTATTTTGATGGCAGGGTCCACATGCCTTTTATCTCTACTTCCTTTTTTACCTATTGAGGAAAACAAGTACGTATGCACATTAACACATGCAATACTCTTGAATAGCTTTAAAAAGGCAGTTGTTCAATAAGAGGACAGAGATAAAAGTATAACAATAATAAGCATGGAAGAGTAAATAGCATGCGTAAGGTACTGAGACAGGTACTCTATACATATCTCACACAGTCATGGTAATAATTCTGCTATTATCCCCCTTTTATAAAAGATAACACTAAGGTTTAGAGAAGTGAAATGTCATCTTCAAAGTTAATAGCTAGAAATGGTTATGGGTAGGAATCAAACTCTGGCTTGTCTAACTTCATCACATAACTTCATAAACAAGGTATTACTTCACCACACCTGAAAGGGAAATAGGGAGAAAATCACAGTAATTTCTGGAAATCAGTCCAAGAACATTTGTATTTATATCAAATCAAACCTTGTCATAAAAACTGTTTAGATTTTAAAATCATAAAACTAAAATACCTATAAGAAAGAAATACAATGAGTCAGAAGTAGAGGAAGAAATGAGAAGTGAAACAATAATACACATGCTCATGCAATTTTACACTGAAGTTTTTACCTTCCAGAGTTCTAAGAATGGAAAAGAAATTTTTGCTGTTTTGCTTTTGATAACAAAGAGGACTGCCAAATACTTCACAGAAACTGAAAAGTATCATATCTATATTTATCCCTTAAAATGAAACATTACATATCCTATAGTCCTTTTTTTAGATTATGTCTTAATTTTTCTAATTGGAATTTTCTATAATAAATAACAGATTTTTATAAAAATCCAAAAGTTGGGCTGGGGATTTAGCTCAGTGGTTCGGTGGCCTGCCTTACAAGTGCAAGGACCCGAGTTTAATCCCCGGTACAAAAAAAAAAAAAAAAAAACATAATACTATCTTATGGTTATCACAATCACTATTGTTTAGATTATAATTTGTCTTAATTTTTCTAATTAAAAATTGGAATTTTCTATAATAAATATACTAATAGAAAATCCAAAATTTCTTTAAAACTTCATTTGTAATGCTACCTTATGCTTATCACAATCACTAATATAATATTCTGACTCATTTCCTTCCATAGTTTCCAGTTTTTATTGTACCAGAGATTGAACTCGGGACCTTGCACTTACATCCCTCCATATTTTTCAAGATGTTTTATTTTTTATTTTTTGGTACCAGGGATTGAACTCAGCACCTTGCACTTGTAAGGCAGGTGGAGTGTCACTGAGATAAATCCCCAGCCCTCAAGGTGTTTTATTTTTATATATGAATTACATAAAATATATCATCTATTACACATTCATATATAATTTTCTGTGTTGCTTTATTAAGTATTGTATGTATTTCTGGATTTGAAAAAATTTTATAAAAAGGTTTTAAAGGCTGCAGCATAGTCAATAATTAATCTTACACTGGACATCTTAGAGCACAAATGCTTTTTGTATATAATAACTTCTCAGGGAAAATTATCAGACTTTAAAATTTCAATAGGCTGTATATGTGTAAGGCTATTTAGGTATACGTGTAAGGCTCTTCTATAGGTATAAGTATAGGTATGAGGCTCTTGAAATCATATGATATAAAGGGCATTTTCATTAGAAAAACAAGTGGACATCTTATCAAAAATAAAGGAAACTAGCCAGGCTTGGTGGCTCTTGCCTGTAATCCCAGCACTCAGGAGGCTGAGGCAGGAGGATTGCTGTGAGTTCGAGACAAGCCTGGGCTACATGGTGAGTTCCTGGTCAGTGTCAACTACATAGTGAGACCCTGTCTCAAAAAACAAAACCAAAAAAAAAAAAAAAAAACCAAAAACAAAAATAAAGGAAACTATAACAAAAGGAAAGCCATATACATTTTTTCATATACAACATATTTGAAAAAATGTAAGCTTTAATAAAGATTCTGTAACTTTTCCATGTTTAAAATAATTTACAGCAAATATAAAAATAAAAATCAGAATTTAAAAATCAGAATTTAAAAACATATGTATTTAGGCATTTTAACTTTTTTTTTTTGGTACTGGGGATTGAACTCTGTTCCTTATGCTTGTGAGGCAGGCAGCAGAACCACTGAGATAAATCCCTGGCCCATTTTAACGTATTTTTAACTTAGTTCCACTGGTTATTAGTTGACAGGGAAGCTATACAAATTACTGAGACAATGAATTACTAATGTTTTACCTTAATCACAGCTGAATTTCTAACTTTGTTATCTGCCACTGAATTGAATATGGCCCACTTGAAAAACAAAGTTAACTTTACAAAATGCTTTATGTCTCATACTGTCAAAAACAAAAGTTCAGGGCCAGGGATTTAGGTCAGCGGCGCCACACCTGCCTTGAAAGTGCAAGGTCCTGAGTTCAATGCCCAGTACTGAGAAAAAAGAAAGTTCAGAACTGTCAAAACCAGTATTACCCAAAGACAATGTAAAGTATACCTAAATTCTATATAAAAAGTGACTGTGTCAAGGCAATGTGGTTTTTGGAACCTTGGAGTCCAAACAGCTGTTGATCTTTTTCTAGTATACGAAGAAGATAATGATCAGAGTCACATAAGAGGGAGGTCAAGTTCCAAGGCAAGCAATGACAAGTGCTACACGTCACAGTCCCAAGGTTATAGAAGATGGTACAATCCTTCACTTCTGCCTCCTTGACACCATCAGAACTAGCTGACAGTGTGGAAAAGACAGTGGCCCCAGTGTCCTTGCTCTTTCCTTAGCCAGGCTTTTACTCCTTAGTAAAATAGGGCTGAATGTGCTTCTGCTAACAACTGTTTCTTACCTAATTTAAGTTTAGCAATTGTATGCCCTATTTTATAAACTACAGGTCTTCCTGGGCATGTAGGGAGTGATCTACCCTACTCTCACGCAAATGTAAGAACAAATGTACATAGATTTTGTCATTTATCAACATCCTGCCCCAGAGTGTGCAATAATCTCCCTTTCAATCTGCCATATCCTTGAGTGACTCCCTACCATGAGAAGCATTGTATTTCTGAATCAAGAGGATAGAGAGAAGAGTCCAGGAAAAGGTAATGATAGAAAAAGCACGAAGAGTGAGCAACTACATATGAGAAAAAAGAAAGCAAAAAAAATTCAGAAATTGTAAGTAAGTGCAAGGAAGATCAGCTTTATAATTCTGGCACTGACAGGAGATAATCTGAGGACTCTTGACTACTCAATATTATTTCTTAAGGAGCTGGAAGATCAAGATGAACTATGAATTAATTTACGTGATATGTGGCCCAGATGTCAATGGAGAACTTGAGGCAAAAGTCAATGACTTTGTTTGACACTACACACTTTCTCATCTTTTTGAATTCTCTTTAACAGTGATTCTCAAACTTTACCCGAGGGATTTGTTACAACATAGATACATTACTGGGCCCATATCCTCAATTTCTGATTGAAGATAAAGCTCAAGAATCAGCATTTTTAACAAGTTCTTAGGTGATCCTGATCTGCTGGCCTGGGAACACACTTTTTTTTTTTTTTTTTTTTTTTTTTTTTTTTTTTT